CATGCCGTGTGAGAGGCGTTGAAGTCTCCCATTATTATAATCTGTTGGCCAGTCGTGCGCTTCCTGATTTCTCGTATGAAGTGATCGAAGCCTGGTAGTTGGTCTCGTGTGGGGCTGTATATATTGGTTATGAAAAGACTTGGCTGCGTCTTTCGTTCCGGCAGAATCTCTATTAGGGTATGTTCTATCTGAGTGCCCTCTATTTCGTGTTTTTCTGTTGAAAGTGCTTTTTTGACAAGTATGATAGTGCGCTGGGTTTGTGCGCAGGTCGTGTATCCTTGCAGTCGTACGTTCTGCGTGTTGGTTTCCTGAAGTGCAATGATGTCTGGTTGTTTAAGCTTGGTGATTTCTTGTAGGCTTGCGTGTACGAGGGTGGTATGACCGACAGTTTCATTGCCATATGCGTAAAGTTGAATGCTGGTTTTTATACTTATGGTTAGGGACTGCCATCTTCGATCGATTCGATGTCACGCGTGCCATCGCGACTCGGCGAGACTGAGCGAGAGGCACTGTGACTGTTCGCTCGTGCCTTCTTCCGAGTCGTTTGGCGTGGGTTGTTCAAGCTGTCGAACTGTGGTCACGTAAGTTTTCTTCACGTGCGCGTTTGAATTGTTGACTTGCGCAGCAATCGCATCAACTTAGGCATTAAGCGTGCTGATCTTGTGTTCAAACATTGAGGCTGTTTTTTCTATTGCAGACTGGACAATCTTTTCCATCGTGGCGTATATGTTTTCATGAAAGATTCTTCGAATATCGTGCACCTTCCGTTCACTAGGGCTTGGACGCCTACCTTGGTCAGTGTCGTTGCCGGCTCTGTGCTAGAGTTTGCGTGTTCTTGATATTGTTGTTCTGCATTGTCCGAATGTCCTTGCTGATGCGTGCACTTTTCAAGTAGTTTCTCAATGAGCTCTTGTTGTCGTTTTCGACTCTGAAGCAGTTTATTTATGAGGCTTTGTTGGCTTTGCAGTTGGCTGTGCTGATTCTGGAGCTTTTTTGCTGGTTTTTCAGTGTATCATCAAGAACCTGTATGGATGAGGTGTCCGACTTCGAGGAGGTCAAGTTGCTGCTGTCTTTAGATATACTTGCCATGGTAGCGTACCTCGCACGTTTAACGGAACGCGAACGCGTGCGAGAGTGGGAGCGCGAACTGAAACGCAGTATTGATTTGGATCTGCTGCGCGTAGAGACGGAACGCGTGCGAGAGTGGGAGCGCGAACTCGAACGCATTATTGACTTGGAACTGCTGCGCGTGGAGACGCGGCCCTCATTGTTACTGTTAGAGGTAGCGGCCGATATGCTAACCTCAGGGAACTGTTCTCCGCTGGCGTTCAAGTTGTCTATTTCTTGAAGCCTGTTGATGCGCTGTTGTCTTATGTTGAAGGGTGGTGGACTTGGCTTTAGTCTTCTTTTGCACTCTTTACTTCCTGTTTTGTGTCCTTTTCCGCAGATCTTGCAGATGGGCGCACATTCATGTCCCTGCGTTTGTCCGGCCTTGCCGCATTTATAGCAGAAATCCGGGATAGGTTTCGGACAGACGTCCTGGCGGTGACCGGTATTGCCACAAGCTCGGCAATACTGCACTGACTTACAATATGGTCTGCAGCGGAAGTCTACGTTCTGGAAAATCACGTGCCACGTCGTAGCACACTACTGCGTAACTAGGTGAAGAGCTTTTGTCTTTAGCTACGACCACCTGTAAACGAATTCTACACCGTCAGCAAAAACTGCCGAGTTCGCGGTACTCACGGCCCATGGCCTGTGAAAATTATCGCGCGTTTAAAATTCTTGCTTCGTGTTGGAGTAAAAGGTGGTACATGACATAGTTTTACCACCACTTCTGAGGTACTTAGTAAAAGCATGTCAAAATCTAGTTTTACCTCGTGGGGAGTTTTTTATCACATGATTTTTAAGCTGCGTTTCAGAATTATTACCACGTGACTGCAAGCTGCAGCTGCTTCGGCGCCATTTGACGCTCTCAATGAATGGTGAACGTACGCGAGGACCACAGATGTTATTTATTTATTTTTCAAAGTTCGGTAGGACCACCGCTAGGGGGTCGTATAGACTAGATGCGTCTCGCATGGGCTCTTGCTTTTCGTGCTTTTTAACCAGAAACAATGCCAGTGACAAACCCAAGAGTTTCACAGCCTCAGCCGCCGAAACACGTGGAATCGGCGGACACTAGCTTCTTTTGGGTGAGTGCATCCTGTCTCAAAATATAAGACTTAATTCCCGACAAGCGCGCGTCCAGTTTATTAAGCCTAACGCCAAGTTTGTTCCTGAGCAAATCTGCGCGGCGCGTGCACAACGCGCTCAGGTGTTCCTGGCGGCATGGCACGAGCACTCGCGCTCACCGTGGCGAAAAGCTTAGAATGAGTCAAGACGCAGCCGCAGAAAGCAAAATGCAAAGAAACCAGCAAGACGAAAAAAATACAATGCAAACTGGCCGAGTGGAGGTAAACAAAACAACAGAAAGTTTGTGGACCTATGATGCTGGCAGTGGCAGAACAATTGCAACGGAAAGCGCTTGGATCACGAGAAATAAGAAAGACAAAAAGGCTGTCGCCAATCCAAGGACACCGGCCCACCAACCCAAAGAGCACCCACCTATCGATGAGGAGACGCTAAAGTCATCATCAACGCAGCAACAACGCAGGCCCAAGATACCACCTCTGCCGCTCGATGACTTTAAAATTGTCTACCACCCGCAAGCAGGTCTTGACCTCGCCAAATGGAACACCGTCGCTGTCACGCATGCCATCGGCAGAGTGAGTGGACTATCACAGCAAGGCTTTAACGACAAGGTACGCGTACAAGTCCAGAGAATATAAAACCTAATTATCGCAAGCACCGACGCCAAAGAAGGCGCCAAGAAGGTGGTAAGCATCCAGAAAATACAGCTTGGAGAAAATTTTTACACTGTGAACGCCAACATCAGAACACTGGACGATGTCTCCAGAGGCGCCATCAGTGGCTTGATACCCGGTAAGAGCACCTATGAACTCATAGCTGGAATTCGCGCAGCAGCAAGATACACAGTTCTTTATGCCCGAACGCTAGGTCAATCGACCGCGGCAGTCGTCTTCTTTGAAGGACCGCACGTTCCGACTTTGAGAATTTTCGGCATGCCGCAGGCGGAACAGTAATACGTGACGGCCCCGCAGTCGTCGCAGCGACTGCTGCGGCATACACACTCTTACCCAAAGCACCAGCGCACCCGTTGGTGGCGCGTTGACAGTGTGCCTCACAAAGGTCAATTCTATACGAGACAAATCAGTGCACGTGTTGTGGGAGCGAAGCACAAATTTAAAAGGACGAAGTGAGCGATACCAGATCACATTAATATGTAATGTTTGCACTTCTAGGGGCGATTGAAACCTTTAAAGAGCTGCTCTCTTCCAACGCAAAGAAATGTGGTCACAAGAGCCTGTATAGCGCGCGTAGAGAAATGGCTGCTCAATGGTGGACCCACATTTCGCGGGGTCGAATCCCGGCAGTAGCGTAAGCATTTTTAGTGGAGACGAAAATGCCCAAGACGACTGTGTTTAGATTTAGATGCATGTTAAAGAACCCCCAGGGATTGAACTTTGCGGAGCCCTCCACTTCGCCGTCTCTCGTAATCACCTCGTGGCTTCGGTATGCTAGACCGCCACAGTTAGGCAAAAGAGCTCGTATACCGCACAGTTCCGTAATCAGATAGGAAGGCGCCCATGACAAATATATTTTCGTTGTCACTCGTGGGGTGATGTGATTATTATGATTATTATTATTATTATTATTTATGCACAAATAATTACACCATGTGTGATTACGAAGCAGTGGGAAGTGTGCGTAGCGGAAAGGAAGGAGGGACAATACCTCCGGCATAACGTGCTTTGCATCCAGGAAGCCATCTGACTGTTCTGGGCAAGTGAATAAGCGACCTCTAAATTTAGTGTCCGCAACAGTGAACTAAAGACGTCGTGCACCTCTACACATCGTGTGACACACCAGAAGTCCACAAGGTTTGAAAAAATGTTAAAGAAGACATTGATCTTGGCGGCAACTTGTCTCTTTTGCACGAAATACGCGTAAACAAAGTCGGGAATTACATGTACCCACACAAAATGGAACGATGAATTCGGCATGTAAACGCGTTTCTTATTATATTTGACTGCATCACCGTGAAAAGTATTCCAACTTACTGATGGCGTTTGTTAAATCTGTATACAATGCATAATATATTTCTGTCAACGATAATGATGCATTCAAAAATTTGTTCCGGCAAACCCTGTTGTCGCTAAGGCAGCAAACACATCTGTGCAAACTTTCATCGTGAACAATTGTTAAAAACCAGGTTCTATTTTAATTGGCGCACGCTCATTACAAAACAACCTGTCTATTTCAGGTGACGCATTTTCGCCTTCGGCTGCACTGTAAACCCGATGTCTCGAACACGTGCTCCGCGGACCTCTCACCGCTGAACCCAGCCCCGTGCATAACTGTCTTCATCGCACTTTTTTTCCTTTTTTTCCTAATAGATGTGGTCACGAGCAACATTACTACACTCTAAGACAAAATGTTGTTAAAAGGGTGTGTGGTTCGCCCTTTTGGGGACTAATGGGGCCGCCACAACCATTAATTCTTTTAAAGACTAACGGCACCAGGTCTAACAGTTAGTCCACACAGACGATCTCCAAGGACTAACATTTAGTCCTCACATTTGCACCTTACAGAGCAACAGTGAATCCCCACATTAGCACCTCACCGGGCAACCGTTAGTCCTCACAGTCGTACCTTGCCAGACGAACGGTTGATTCACTAAAATACTTCATTCGAATGGACTTTTTGTCCCCAGTTCACACACTGTTTTTTGTTTATTTTCCGCCAGGCTTAATATTTTTTTCCCCTGTTTTTCTGCGCAGTGAGCAACAAATTGGGCAGAAAAGGACACGCGAAAAAGTAGTTAGCCACCTATCTGTAACTGCTTTCGCAGTCACGGCAACAACGACAGACAAAAGTGCGACATAGAAATCTTTTATTTTTCTACATACACATGAAATTCTTCATTATATTAAGTGAATTCATGTTGAAGTCTACCAGTCCAGTCTCGTTGTCTAATCCTGTTCACTTCTTGGGGAGCTTCTCCGACGGAAGCGATAGATGACAGGCATTGAAGACGCCAGCGCACGCAGCCTTCTGGCTGTTGTATTCCCACGGCTGCACGTACAATAGTATAGTAAAAATAGTTAGACACACGTGACAGAAGATGAAGATGCACACATATGACAAGTACGTGCACGTTATTATAAAAACAAGCGTTAAAATATGACACACAAATAACTTTACCTTCACTTCTCGCACAGTCCTTTTGAAGCTGCTCTGACGAAAGACATGGATGAGAGGCATCGCAAACGCCAGCGACACAATCTTCAGCACGGTGTGTGCTCACGGCTGCACAGTAAGTATGTAAAATAGTGAGTCACACTTCACACAGGATGAATATAAATGCATATGAGAAATACGAGAAAGTTGAAATGAAAATATACGTGAGATGTGACACGCTAATAACTTCACCGTCATGTCACACATCGTCAAAGACTCATTTCGATCCCCGTAGCGCAACAGCTTATGAGCGGGGGCCGCAGCCACTACTCCGTGAACCACCGAGCCGCCAACAAGTCGTCAAGTCCTGAGCTAGCGACGTCGTTCAGCTCGAGCAAGTGAACGCGAGACCAAGCATGGCGCTGCACGCGGAGTGTCTGCCGCCAGCGAACTTTGTTCAGGAGAGCGACGTACACTTCCGCGCTAGCTCTAAACCAGCACGAACAGCGCCGTGCTGGTTTGGAGCTAGCACGGAAGAAATTGACAGCAATGCTGCCCTTTTCCACAAACTCGAGCGAGTGCAGCGCGCAAACGCGAGTCCGCCGCCGCGGCCAACTGATGACGCCGAGCTGCTTGCGACCGACTGACGGGAAAGCCAACTGTAATGGCGACCAATTCTCAGTGAGTTTCGACGCTGGCGAAAGACCCGCCAGCCCGTGCTGGTGCGCTTACAGCGCACGACATACTACAACCAAGCTCTTTACGAGAACCCGTAACGTGTTTTCGATGACTCCCGACACAGCGACGAGGTCTCAGCCCAATATTGTCAGCCCGGAGCTCATCGCGGCGGCGAAGACAGGCGAGCACTCGACGGGCAAGCGTACCGGAGGCCAACGGCAATGGCGGCCAATTTCCAGTCGGTCGCACAGCACAGGCGAACTGGAGACGCCGAAGCTGACCTTCGCGATGCATTTCGTGTGTGCGATATACAACGCTACTGAGCCTGTTGCCGGCAAGCGCGATCCGTATGGCACACACGACAAGTAGAATAGAATAAAGAATGATAACCTACTTGCCTTAGAATCCAGCGCTGTTTTCTGCCCTGAGTCTGACTGAAGTGAATATCCGATAGGCCTGTTGCGTTCTCGGCCGCCATATTGGCCTTACCAACTGTTGCTGTCGTGTGTTGGTCATGACTATCTTGAAGCCAGAGATATACAGCGCGGCGTGGTGACGTGTCGAGACTTGCTCCAGACTTCATGGGTGCAGCGAAAGGCGAAAGCAGCAGCCCAAGCTCATCCAAGCGTACACACAAGCACCACGTCGTAATTCTTTGATCGTCTAATCCAGGCGGCCGTGGTCGAGCACTCCGAGCGCAGCGCAACGCGAGCCGTCGCCGGCAAAATACGGGGAAAGACTGAGCCAGCAGAGGAGGAGAGTGAGCCCTATCACCTTGGCAACGCTGTTCGCACTTCCTGCAATGCCCGGGCGGCTCATACCTTGGTTTCGCGCGCCACACTTCCCTCTGTGGTTGCTCCTCAACGGTCTATCAGTTATTCAAGCGCACCAATCGGGCTCCGTTAGTATTTTTTCGGGTAATTTTGCCTTAGAGTGTAGATTCTTCTTCAGTTTGCAAACTTCGCTTGGACGAGGCGGCAAAACGCGGGCCCTTTCGTTTCCCGCTCCCTGTCGGCCCTTCTGACCCCATTTAAACGGTCGCGAAGTAACGGGTCCTGTACACAGCGTTAAACGGAGTTATTGCGGTTAATTTGGCATTGCGGGAGTTATTTTCTATGATATTGCATTAACAGTATTACGAGTGGGCAATTAAGGCACCAGTTGTGCGGCTAATGCGGTGCCACATGGCGGAGATGCAAGTGCGATGCTTGAATCTTGCGGGCTTTGTGTTAATTTAGCCGTATTGCTTTCTTGTTCTTTAAAATTCAACCATATATATTAAAAAACCGCTGCAGTGGGCTTAAGGATAAGTACTGGAGGACTACGCATTTGAATTCAGGTACATGTTAGAGAAACCACAGGTGGCAAAATTTTTCAAAGGTATTCAACACGACCTGCCTCTTAATCGCGTAACCTTTGTTATTGTTATATGATGAGGCACACAACACATTCACCTGATGCCGCCAGAGATATTGGAAGTGTAAAGCCTAGAACAATTTGTTCGTTTCAGATAACTCAAGCTTACGATCCGAACGATTTTTTTTTTCTCATGGAAAGATAGAACACGAATTCAATAAATGCATGTCCCTTAGGGCTAATAATGCAAAATACAATTAGTTAAGCAAAGTCTTACTGAATGAACACAATTTATTCAACGCTACAATAAACAAACTTGAAGTAACTTTTGTTCGCGTGGTATCAAAACTACTTCACTGTGAACATTGTGCACGTAGTCAAGATATCGTCCTCCTGGAAGTGGAGGTCGTACACAGCGCAAGATCTTGATAGTTCCTTATCCAATCTCGGTATTGCTCGTTGCCACTGTAGAAGACCCACCTCATTAACGGGTGGCTTGAAAAAAAAATGCCTTTTTCGGTCGCAGATTTTGTTGAGTCGTAGCCGCTTCAGCAACCACTGACAAAGCAGCGAGGCATGTTTTATAATATCGAAAACCCATCACACAAAGCATGAGAGCTATGTACCCGGCACAATAACACAACAGAGCTGACAGCAAGTGAGACACAACGTCAATTGTCACCATGATATCGCAGTAAGCAGCAGTGGAAGCACAAACTGCGCGAGTGTCGTCGATCTCGCTGAGACACACACTGGTAGCGATTGCCACGGAACACACAAAATCTTCGATGCCCATATCGAAGATTTTGTTCGTCATTGCCAACCATTCCAAATGAACCTAAGACGCCTGTCCACTTCTGGATGAAGTCCAAACTTTGATGGAGCAGAATCCATTTAGATGTTGCTGGACCAGTTCAATATGTTTACTTTCTTGTTGTCGTGCACGCACTATCAAACTGGGCTGAGATAGAAATCATGCCATCGCTTCACTCGTAAGTGGTGATCGATAAACTGTGCAAGATATTTGCTTCGTACGGATTACTGGAGTTGGTCGTTTAGGATAATGGAACGGCGTTTCCAAGCCAAGAAATGCAATCTTTCTTGAAGAGCAACGGTGGCTGCTACATGCTTACAGTGCCATACCATCCCGCAACCAATGGAAGGGCCGAGCGCATGGTTCGCGAGCTAAAGTGTGCGCTTCGAAATCGAAGCCAGCGCACAGTGGCGTGTAAAGTCTCTCGTTTTTAATCAAGCAGCACTCCACACCACACACGGAAACCGGGAGAACGCCAGCAGAACTAATGCTGGGAAGGAACTTCCGTTATGCCTTGTCAGGCATGCAGCCCGATGTCGGAGACGCAAGGTGTACGAGACAGCCAAAGTCGACGTTCAAACGTGGTGATCCTGTGTACGCGCGGAACTTCTCTCGTGGGCCAAAGAAACTAGCCGCGTCCGTACTGAGGTCCTTAGGTCGCGCCATGTAAGATGTGCAAACTGCCCCGCCGTGGTGGTCTGGTGGCTAAGGTACTCGGCTGCTGACCCGCAGGGCGCGGGTTCGAATCCCGGCTGCGGCGGCTGCATTTCCGATGGAGGCGGAAATGTTGTAGGCCCGTGTGCTCAGATTTGGGTGCACGTTAAAGAACCCCAGGTGGTCTAAATCTCCGGAGCCCTCCACTACGGCGTCTCTCATAATCATATAGTGGTTTTGGGACGTTAAACCCCACATATCAATCAATCAAGATGTGCAAACTACGAGCCTTGCGATACAGAGACGTCATCGTGGCCATATGCGCAGAGCATGGAAGTCTGCCCCACCAGACACCGTTGACCCTCGCTTCCAGTTTGCGGCGACGCCAGCTTCAGTGACCAGATCGCCTGTGCGAGAAGCTGCAATACCAGCAGGTGATGGGCCGACATCGACTGTACCTGATACCGCGCAAGCATGCCGCCGCTCTACTCGTGCACGGCCAGCTGTGCTCCACTATGCCATTGACTGCTAGGGGGGAAGGGAGGAAATAACAGCATGAACTGAGTGAACCAGTGTGTACTGCGCATGTCTTGTGTTCGAACAAGCACCACCAAGTGAATCGATAAAGCAACCCACCGTACCACATTTACTCGTATAGTCTGTGCAATAAAATATTCTTGCAAAAGCTGCTGCGGCGTCCACGTCGGTCATTACAGATTTCTCATTGCTTTCAAAGCTGTTACAACACTCAAAGAGTCCGTGTATATAACCGCGCGTTCTAGGTTTGATTCCTTAGTATGTTCGGCAGCCCCAGATAGCGCATGATCTTCTGCGGTGAAAATGCTTGTTTTTGGGTGCAAAATACCGGAAGCTGAAAAGAATGGCCCTACAGCTGCATAGGACACAGAAGTGCAAGACTTGGAGGCATCGGTAAGAAAATTCAGGGCAAGCGTATTTGTGTTTATGTGCCATGAAGATTGTGTATATCTGTGCAATAGGTGCATGCTTCGTCATTTCCGCGAAGGATACATCACATTCTGTCACCTGCCACTGCCACGGCGGTATGTTTGCAGCAGGAGCCATGAGACACTGTTCAAAAAGCGGCACACCTTCCCCGCCGCGGTGGTCTAGTGGCTAAAATACTCGGCTGCTAACCCGTAGGTCGCGGGATCAAATCCCGGCCGTGGCGGCTGCATTTCCGATGGAGGCGGAAATGTTGTAGGCCCGTGTGCTCAGATTTGGGTGCACGTCGAAAAACGCCACGTGGTCGAAATTTCCGGAGCCCTCCACTATGGCGTCTCTCATAATCATAAGGTGGTTTTGAGACGTTAAACCCCACAAATCAATCATCGAATCAAAAAAGCGGCACACCTGTTATCTCGGCTAGGCCCCTCACGCGAAGTGAGTGAGGCTGCCTACTCGAGGGGCGCTTTCCAAAATGTGCAGAACTAGACAGATAATTACTTATGGAATGCGTAGGGTGTTTCTTGTCACCGTTCACTTTCAGATAAAAGATAAAATACACGTTGGACTTCTGCAGAGAGAGTTACCACTCATTCGACTCAGCGTGCAGGCTCTCTACAGGGCTCGTTCGATAGGCACCTGTAGAGAGGTGGATGCC